ATCCGCTGTAGACCGCAAGTGTCATGTTGGAACAGAGTAAGAAGCGTAAACTTTAGGGTTCTTGAAGTATAGAGGGAGACCTGCGGCGGGCGTGGCAACACCCTCCTGGAAGAAGGAGACCGATCTCCTACAAGTGGAACATGGGTGTCTTTTTGAGACATAAATACCGATGATCATGCCGAGCCATGAATTCCGCCAACGGAGCCGACCCGAATGTATGACCCGACCCGAAACAGGTACAACAAGAAAACAGGTACAACATAGGTACAATGCAATTGTTCCATGTTTTACATGTAGACGTAGACAAAATAAACACAATATACATATATATATATATGTATAACAAAATTGACATGTAATACTATAAACAATACCCATGTTCTGAGGCACTGGAAGGGTCTGATAGGTACCCCTACACCCCCGCCGGACCCGACCCACCCACGGACCCTCTTCAGAGGCGCTAGAGGAGCGCTTTGGGAACGAGCGCCAAGAGCTCTTCGCCCGGGTGGCCGAGAGGTACTGCGACGGTGGCCCGGGGACAGGTTTGGAGGCCAAGAAAGTACCTTCTGGAATGGTATTTATTTCGGGTGTAGGAATCTATTTCCTTCTGTGAATCCAAAAAGTCACCTCCCTAGATGTTCATGAAAAGAAACCGACAACAGCTACAACGCTGTTCATGTTTGGCTCAAGAAAATAGAGCGGTTCAGCTCACATGCCTTCAATTAAGGGTACCAAGCACAGCCAAGCACTTCCAGGGAAATTCCAACACATTTGAAGGCCTAAAATGCCGTTCTAAAAAAGCTCAGCAAGCTCAGTAGCATCCGGGAATTCGATCCTCTTAGACCCAGATGTTTCTGGTCTCTGTTTTCCAGCCATCCTGCGCCCAGGCGCGACACCAGCGCCTGCAACATGAAGTGGCCAGCGAGGGCCAAGAGGGCTCCGCCAAAATGCAGGAACTCGCGGCCAGGCTCTTCGGGGCTGCCCGGGTGTGATTTTGCTGGGAAAATGTAGGGTCATCTTAATATAAGACAATTGGGCACAAAAGCACAAAAGGATGGCACACAGGTGTATCCATGCATATCCATACTATGGAGATCAGGAGGCGTTGGTGTTTGGAAAGCCTCACGACGATGGTAGACCAATGTTCAATATTTCCTTGGTCTCATTAGACATTCTAAGCAATTTATGCAACAAGAGAACAAGATCATGCTTTGACTGAGGGGTACTTTGCTAGTTGTTAGTCACTCTTTGCTTGAACAAAGGGGAGTTGGGGAGGGCTTCATGGCCTTTGCTGACGGCTTTGGTGCAGATCAATCATTTCTTGCTGAAGGAACAAGTCAACTGTCAAACTGTTTCTGGGCATGGTGAACAACAGTTTGGGGACAAGCCCAAACTGCCCTGAGCCATCAAGAGCGGGGCTCGTCCTGCGACCAAAGTCCAATGAACATAACAACACGCGCAGGCACAGTCCAGTCCTCGTGAGGCAGAATCAGTACCGCGGAACATGTTCAGGACAAATCAGTCTTGAGTTTGTTTGAAGATATGTCCTCCACACCGGGCGTTTCATGACAAAAGGCAACACATTTGTCCTCACAGGTGGTGCATGTTGTTTTTTGTTTGTGGGTTCCCATCGACCATGTGCTGCAGGACGTTTGTATAAAATAGCTAATATGGTTTGAGAGTGTCAGCTTGCACTGTTATGTAGTCATCTTGAAGTCCATTGAATTGTTCGAGAGAATTGAGTTTAAGAGTA